GAGGGCTTCACTGGTAAATTCTACCAAAACATTTAAAGGACAAGTAATACCAATTTTTTGCAAAAGCCTCAAAAATAGAAGAGGATGAAACACTTCCCAACTCATTGTGTAAGGCCAGCATTACCCTGATACCAAAGCCAGACTAAGGCATCACAAGAAAATAAAACTTCAGACCAAAATCTGTTATGAATATGGGTACAAAAATCCTCCAAAAATACTATCAAACCAAATCTAGCAACATATCTAGAGAATTACAAGACACGTGCAAGTGGGATTTTCCCTAGGAATGCAAGGTGGGTTTAACATCTGAAAATAATATAATATGCCATATCAATAGATTTAAAAAATAATTCTCTCAATAGATGCAGAAAAACATTTTAAGAGATCTAATGCTGTTATGTGATAAAAACAGCAAACTAGGAATAGAAGAAAACTTTATCAACCTGATAAAATACATTAATGAAAAGCCCACATCTGATACCATACTCAGTGGTGAATACTGTATGCTTTCCCCAAAAAAAATCCCAAATCCCTGTGTTACAAAGATTGGGAGCAGGATAATATATCTCAAAAAACCCCATCATATACATATAGCACCATGACATTGCTAGTGAAGTTTAGCTGACAGTAATGATTGATTTAATATCAATACCCATTAATCAGTATTAAATGATGAAACAAATGCCCATGAAGGAAATAAACTTCACTATAGGTCAATTAATTCTAGTGAGTATTTAGGTATTTCAGTTGATATTTCTCGACATAAGACCTCAGTGATAAGAAAATATATACAATTGATTTCAGCAGGTAGCTAGTAGATAGTAAATTCACAATAAAAAATTCATTTATTTTTTAATGAATTTAAAATTAAAATTAAGCTAATATTTATTTATCTTTTTTATTATGTTAGGAATCTTTTTTTTAGATTTTATTTCTTTATTTATTTTTAGAGAGGGAAGGGAGGGAGATAGAGAGAGAGAGAGAAACATCAATGTACGGTTGCTGGGGGTCATGGCCTGCAACCCAGGCATGTACCCTGACTGGGAATCGAACCTGCGACACTTTGGTTCGCAGCCTGAGCTCAAACCACTGAGCTACGCCAGCCAGGGCTTTATGTTAGGAATCTATCACAGCTTCAATGCTGAGATTCAATGCTAACACATAAACAATGCTGAATATTCTCTCCATTATCTCATTTGCCCATCTGCTTCCTAAACAATCTTGAGAAATAAGTACTGTGATCTCCATTTAACAGTTAAATCATCACATCAGAGAGACTAAGTGATTAGATCAAGGTCACACAGCTAAATATGGTCCACCTAAGGCTCTATTTCATGTCCTCAATCCAAATTCAGAGGTCCTTCCCACTCACCACATGTAGTCATTCTTCATTCACTTCACCATTTATTTATTTACTGTCAATTAAAATACTCACACCCATGATTCTTACTCCATTATATAATTTCCTTTTTTTAACCCTCAAGAAAATCCTCAACATACCAGTAGACCTTCTCAATCTTAGTCCCTTCTGTGCTAAATGTTCTGGACTACCTCCAACATTCTCCAGCCCTTCTTTCTCCACCTCTTTGCAACCTTGCCTACCACTGCAATATGTTATCCTGATGAAGTGTGTTTAAAGATTAGGTCAAGATTAAACTCACCGATGACTTAAAATCCCAGATTGAATCACAAAGTTCACTTAACCTCATACTAGCCAGCCAGAGTGAATGGCTCTTAGTGACAAAATAAACTACAAAGCCTTATGGTTTGAACCTGCTCTGCGTGCTTCCGTGTGTGTGTGTGTGTGTGTGTGTGTGTGTGTGTGCAAATTGTCTCTCCTCCTCGTGACTACTGTTACCCAGTGGAGGAAGGCAGGGTTCACAGCCCTGAGCACTCTCCCCCGATTAGAGAGCCAGCAAATAACAGAGTTGGAGTTCAAACACAGAGCCATCTGACTGTACATGTTGTGCTCTTTGCTCTGTAACAGAAATCCTCAAATATTTGTCCACAAACCAAGAGCTAGCTCATCACAAAGTTTTTATAAGTCCACAGCACAACAAGAACAGCATGATGTTATACTCATCTGGGATCTGCGTCAGTATAAAGACGCATTATTGCCAAGAACCATCTTTTATTTTGTGATTATGTTTTTTCTGCCTTTTTGGTGCTAACATTTCTTTCCTTTGTGAAATTGTAAAGAAAATAGGTGGTAATTTTTTTTTGATGAAGTGATGATAATGTTCTTACTTGGTAAAACAAAAAGTAGGTAACATTATGTTAGTTATGTAGGCCCTGTCTACATAATATCTACATAAAAGGTTCAAATGAATTATTAATATGTTACTATTTAATCTCAAAGTGGTGGTTTTTGTGTCAGGCTGGTAGTTTTAAATAGAGTTTGTTGAGAATAATACTCTTTGGAAAGCAGTTATAGGCCAGGAGGCAAGAGGACAGAAAGGAAGAGAGATTGTTAAGTACATAGGTGGAAGAGGACATGGAGGAAAGAAATAGTAATTTCACAGTTTTGCCAAGGACTTTGCCTAGGTTTTTATAAATATGACTAACAATTAAAATTTGCAATTGGACATTGCTTCTCTAAAATTTCTTCTGAATTTTATCTACATATTTATTTATTTATTACCTCTGTTAACCTCTGATTAGACATACAGAAGATTCTAGTTGTTAGCGCAACTCATTACAGGGCACTAAGCAGACAGATAAAAAGAAAATTCTCTTTTTCAGATATATCTATTGAATTAATAGTCATTATATTCTCTTTAAAATGTGTTTCCATATTATTTAAACTATGTCTCTATTCTCGAGAGAGGTTTTTGCTCTGTCCTTTCCTACTTTCCAGACTTCTCCATCCAATTTAAATATTATACACACAGACCCCAATTTGTAATATTCTCTAGTCAGTCACTTGTTTGGAACTCAGAATACATTTTGCGATAAAACAATAGAAGTGGTAATTAAGTTCTCAAAATCACTCACAAGTGGCTGTTAATAATATACACAAAGGTAAGGGGCTGTAATTATAATAGTTCAGTTTTGAATCATCTATTCAGAGCAGACAAAAGAGGATACAGAAATGAAGGGCATTCCCCCATTTTTCCTGAGCATAGGTCAATAATAGGCAAAGAACTCAAAATAAGGTATGTTCTCTGTTATCCTCCCATTGTAATTATCCCTCTGTATATACAGACCCACTAAATGCATCTCAGTAGCTTTGTTTTCTTTTGCATCCCACGAGCCAAATATATTAAGCTTAACAATTATCTTCCTCACTCCCCCCAATCAACACTTCCATTGCCTCAATACAACTGTCTCAGGGAAGCAAGACAAGAAAAACAACCTAGTGAACAAAGATTAACATGTGAACAATCTGACTTCTATTTTTAGTAAAGAACTCAATTTCAGATTCTAGAACAAAGTGAACATGGGCTGTTCCTTTTTAGTTTTTTTTCTCTCCATTTTTCTCTGACTCCACTTTCTACCTTGCAATCATTTCTTCTAATAGTGCACAGGTGCCCTGTCCCCACACAGTGTTTTGGCACATCTAAAGATGATGAAATACAGTAAATGGTTTCCATTTTTATTTGTGCTACAGTAAAAGTCCTAATGGCTCTCCTGGAAAGGGAGTTTGGGAAGGTTAGCTTCAACTCCTATCCTCAAAACACCATGGAGCAGCTCAATCCTCAAATCAGTTTCAGTCTGGCTAGTTTCAGCTTGACTACTTTCAGGTAGTTTAACTTCTTCTCAGTATCCTAAGAGATCTGGCCCCTGGCTGGTATTCATAGACATATGACAAGTATATTTCAGGAGAAGGCGGGTATAATTTGTTGCCACAGGAAACTGCTCAGTGGCTCAGACACCAGAAGAAATTGTCTAACCTTTTGGTGGGAAAAAAGCTGGGTGTCCACCCTGGGAATGTCATCACTGGGAGCTCTGTGCTGAAAAAGAAGCGACTTTCTTTTACTTTCAATGGAGTCTTTTTAAAGAGGTGAGAGACTCTGCCTACGTGGTGAACTCCTATGAGTCATGATGATTCATGCAAATCAGCCTGTTTTACAAGGCGGGTAATTTTTATCACAAAGAGATGTATTAACCAATCTTCAGAGTTATTGCTGAATGGTGGTTGCTGATCCGGAAAAAGATACTAATCTATTCGGTCAGTCATTTAATCTTTCCAGCCAAAATCAATTTAGTTAAATTAAACTGATTGAAAAAGCAAAAGCTCAGAAATTCCAGGTTTTCTTTCTTATCTTTGCCTGTTGATCTTTCAAACATTTGATCATTCATTGTACATTATTTATTCAATGTCACCTCTATAGTTGCATAACAAGAAGCCCATGAATAAAAGCCCCTATGAAGGACTCTCACCTGTTTAGTGAGCCAAGAAATTCATACATGGGGGGGAGAAAAAGAGAGAGAATAATTAAAATAGTAAATAAAGTGTGAAAAATATACAGAGTTTTTGAAAGGCAATATTTTTTAAATTAGGGGAACATGTTGCTATAATATATAGAATAACTAATTCTAAGTACTGTATCTGACAATTATTTAAAGAGACTCCTTTTTTAAAGATTTTATTTATTTATTTTTAGAGAGGGAAGTGAGGGGGATAGAGAAAGAGAGAGAGAGAGAAACATCAATGTGCGGTTGCTGGGGGTCATGGCCTGCAACCCAGGCATGTACCCTGACTGGGAATCGAACCTGCGACACTTTGGTTCGCAGCCCGCGCTCAATCCACTGAGCTACACCAGCCAGGGCTTAAAGAGACTCTTTAGAGAAACTAGTTGCCCCAGAATCTCAGGAACCTGGGAAAATAGTGATAGAATGTGTGTGTGTGTGTGTGTGTGTGTGTGAGAGAGAGAGAGAGAGAGAGAGAGAGAGAGATTTAAAGTAAGTTGTAAGAAGTCCAGGCTAAATATGCTGGGCCAGCACAATGTCATCTACAATCAATAAAAACCTCTTTTATGAAATAATACTTCTTCCAGCTATGATGAACGAAAAATGAAAATGGAAAAAGACTATCCAAAAAATACAGAAGAGGAATTTTCAGGAGTAAATGGACAAATAGATGCTGCTGTGGAATTAAATGGTGAGTGTTTACACCAAAAACTTTCTTTGTGGAAATTGTAACAAGAAGCCTGGGCTCTTCTTTAACATAACAGAAAATGGGTTTCCAAATGGGAGTGCTTTGTTCTTACCTTGGGCCCTGAGTCCCTTATAAATCTAGCTAAACAGATTAACCACTAGACAAAATAACTACAGAGGTCTGCCATCATGCTTCTCCCTTGAGAAATAAAAGTTTTAAAAGCATAACTTCGATCCAGTAGTCAGCTACATTATAAAGTTTACCTGATCAAAATTACCATTTTTATCTTTAAAATGCACATACTCTCAACTTTCCCAGTGCCCTTCCCCACTCCAACCCTCAGCTCTTGAAATTTAACACATAATTGGGAAAGATGAATTGAATTGAACCAAGTTGAAGGAATTTAACTGAATCTTCTTAACCAGCCAATCAACGTTTTTTTGTGTGGTTTTTTCTTTTTTGAGAATCCAGCACTGACTGAACACTTCAGAAATGTAAAGGCAGTTCCAGATATGGTCTCTGCCCTTGCAGAATGGTTAATGTCTTTGGGAAATGTCCCTTCATTGATCGCAGATGAAATTACTAAAAAACCATATGATCTTTAATTTGGTATTGAATTGTGCTGTGCCCTTCATAGTAATGATCAAAGAAAGAAAAGATCAGGACCAGCACTTGTATTGAAGGTTTCATGGTAGAACTTCAGCTGGGTTTTAAAGAATGGCTAGGGGTTTGACTAGGGAAAGGAAAGGGCAGGGGACTTCCTGGAGGAGGACAGCCAGAGCAGAAGCACCAAGCACAACTGAGCTTGACCCATTGGACAACCCCAAGGAGAAGGCTGCACCCTGGCTAAAAGAGAGGCAAAGATGAGAGGTGGCTGAGAAGTTAGAGATGTCAGGTTCTAGGCTCAGTGACAACTGTGCAGAGGATTTACTAACTGCCACCTGACACATTCCCGATTCCCTTTGGTACCACCTCAAGAAAATTACAGTTATAAATCCTCCCATTTAGAAATTTGCCAGTCATTTTCAGTAACCACAATTTCAACTTTGTCTCTTTTAGGCTACATTTACTTCTTTTCAGGACCAAAAACATACAAGTATGATATAGAGAAGGAAGATGTGGTTAGTGTGCTGAAATCTGGTTCCTGGATTGGTTGCTAAATAATATAGAAAGGTCTAGCCTTTCCTAAGGAATGAAGATGACTGCAAGCGGCTGGTACCTGGATCTAAGGACTGAAGCAGAAATTAGGGTAGGGATTCTTCCTATGGCCTTCAATTCCAAGGGCAATTTAGAGTTCACTGAAAATAATTATGCTTCTAAATTTTTCCATAGTTGTGAATTCATCATTTTAATCCAAATGAGAAATTCCTCCTATGTGGTCAACTTCACACAAAATCAGAATCAACAAAGTGTACTCCTCAGTTAGACACCCATTATTTTTTTCTTACCTAATATCCTGAAGCAAATTGATAACTTTGGATTTTTTTCCAAGAAGGACCTACTTGTGGATTCCCTAACATGTACTATAATTTTTAATAGGACATGTAATTACCATACAATTATAATTATTCTTCACAAGTAGTGGCTTTTGTGACCTTAACAATTATTATGATGAATATAAATTTATCTGTCTGTACTTTAAACATATCACAAACAAAATACTGTATAAGTTTTGTTTCTCATTGTTTGTTTATTTGTTTGTTTAACTATGTATACTCACTGGTCTTTGAAGTAGGTTGTGGCAGGAAAACCTGTTCAAGTGAATTTCCATACTAGGCAAGAGGCACTATGCAAGGAAAACTTTTCACAAAAGCCAATTAAAATGTTGTATAAGAACATTTGTCATTTCTCTTTTCAGTTAATATTTACTAGCTTCTATCACATTTTCTTTGGCAACAAATTCTGTATCCCTATAAAAAATTCAAACCTTGAGATAGTATTTCAGCATGCAGACCCAGAATAAATAATAGTAATTCACTCTGTTTCCTGCTTCCTGACAATAAAATACCCTCAGTGAAACCCATTAAATGAAGTTCTGATGAAAACTTTTTTATTTAAGGGAGTTCATCTTTTGTTTCAGTTTTTCTCACTTCAGACTAAACCTTCTTTTTCCCCTACATACTCATTGATACAGATAAAATACAGCTGTCTGTCATTCGTATGATATTTTTAAAATCTTACCCTCTAGAATGTAAGGCTTCTAAGACATGGTAGTAGTTCTAAAATTAGATGATAAAATATATTTAATGTATTTCATAGACTCTCTGGAACATCTGCAGTGTTCAACAGATGTCAGCCATTATCGTTATCATTATTTATTAAATTTGTTTCAAATACTCACTAAATCACTTAGTATTTTTAGTATTAAGAAAGTATGGAGCAGTTACTCAAGGTTACTCTAAGCTTTCCATTTATTTTCCATTATTGAAATTGGCTATTTACAATCCACATATTGAACTGCTGAAGAAAAGTCCAGTATGCTTGTTTTCCAGTGTCAACTACTATATATGGAGTTAGAAAAGTCACTTTTGCAAAAACAGTCAGCTGAGGAGAACTCCCTAATACCAATAAACAAGGAGAGAAAATTGTCTGGCAACTCCTCAAAAGGCTAAACCTAGAGTTACCACATCTATAACCCAGCAATTTGACTCCTAAGTGTAAATACCTGTGAGCAACGAAAACCTACATCCACACAAAAATGTGTCCACAAATATTCATAGAACCATTACTCAAAATAGCCAAACAGGGGAAACATGTCCATCAAATGATGAACAGACTTTTTAATGTAGCAACTTCATACAATGGAACATTATTCAGCAATAAAAAAGGATTAATACGGACTATGATATGGATGAATCCTGAGAACATTACACTAAATGAAAGAAGCCAGACACAAAGCTCCCATCTTGTATGATTCTATTTATATGAAATGTTTAGGACAGAAAAGTCCATAGAGACAGAAAGCTGACTAGAGCTTGTTAGGAGCTGGGGGAGAGGGAATGGGAAGTGACCACCAATGGGTAGGGGATTTCTTTGTGGAATGGTGAAATTGGTCTAGAAGTAATGGTGATGGTTACATAACTATGAGTACACTAAAAGCCATTAAATTGTGCACTTTAAATGGATGAATTGTATGGCATATGAATTATATCTCAATAAACCTGTTATATTAAAAAAATAAAAATAAGCAAGGGGACCAAGGTGCTGTGATGGTCCGTGCAGGCCGAGCAGCCGGCCTGCTGTGATGGGGCCATGAAGCAAGGGGCCGGCCCGAAGGCCTCTGCTGCCGGCACCGCCCGCCAGATGTCTTCCTTGTATCCAGTGCTGGCCCAAGAACATGCACATTTTAGACACTTCACAAAACAAATTAATGTTACTTAGAACAAAAAAAGCATGTTCTCTGAGGTCTGACTCACTGGAGTCAAACCCCAGATCTGCAATTTTTAGCTGTGTGATGTTGGTCATGTTCCCTAATCTTTGTCTCAATTTCCCTTTTCTGACACTAGAATATGAATAGCCCTTACCTCCTATGGAGGCTTAAGTACAGGGATGGGCAAAAGCAGGTTTATAGTTGTTCACGTGGGAAATAATACAATAAATAATAAGCAGTGAAAGAGTAAACTCTGTGCTCCAGGCACTCACCACTGGAAACCTGCTTTTGCCCCACCATGTATATGAGTCAAAACATGCAGAACTCTCAGATAGCTCCTGGTGCCCTGTCAGGGGCTTTGGAATTGTAGTTTTTGAAGCAGTAACAATTAATTTTGTTTTGAGATAATTTGGAGGATTTGTATATAGTCCTTGAGATAGCTGAAGATGTGATGAGCTGTAGCAACACAAGGATTGAAAACCAGTGACCTGAATTATACTTCAAATTTCAAATTAAGTCAATAATCAAATAATATACTGACTATGGTTAGCCCCCATTCCCCAAAAGTAATTCTTACAGAACACTATTTCTTTGTTGAGTAAGAGAACTGGCTCCCAGGTATAGTTGTAATAGTCTTTCTAATACATAGGAAATAATAACTGTGTTTGCATCAAAACTCAATCTGCACACTGATCTGAAGCAAGAATTTTGTGCAGAAATAATTTACTACATAGACTACTCATTTGGTTTCCATGTAATATAGTCCAAAAATGTTTGTTGAGTAACAGTTTTGAACAAAACATGGTTCAGCTGCTCCTCTGGGGATCAGGATTTGTAGTGTGATGACCTCTAAAATAGTGTCCTATTAACCTCAGTTGTAACTATTTATGGGTGGCCCAGAAGCCCCTGGAAAGCACCAGGAAGTTTACTAAAGGATGAAGGAGTTCACCTGGGTGGAGAGCTTCTGGGAAAGCTCCACATTTAATTTTCTGTGGCTGGAAACGAGCTCACCTCCATTTCGCCTGGTGTGAATGGCAGAGTGAACTGTGTCTGTTGGGTCCTCTGTTGTGTCCTTAGATGTTTACTCTGAAACACCTTAGATGTGTGTTTCACACGGCAGATGGCAACAAACTATGCAGGTGTTTGTTTGGAATTCTGTGCGATATATTTTTAAATTATCACACAATCTTCAAGCACTTTCATTTATATATTATCCAGGTGTTTTCTCTTTATTTCTGTTTTTAGTCATTTCCTTCTACAGGCAATGGTACTGAAGGTTCTTTGTGAATATCACAGCTAAACTTACACAGCGAAGTGCCAGTTGAGAAGAAATAGGTAATGCTGGTCAACAGGTTGTAGTTTTAGACTCCCATAAGGAAGCATAAGAAAGTTGAAGCCAAAAATGTTCTGCTTTTCTTCCATATGGGCCTGAGTAAAAGGAAGAAATGGCATCTTCTGATAATCTTTCATCTCCTGAGACTGTCTTTGGTCCCATTACCATCCCCAGCATGGCCAGACTAAAGTGTGTCCCATTATACTCAAACCTCTGGTCCCTGCTTTCCTCCCACCACCTAGACTCAGAACTTAAATAAAAGCAGAATTGGAAAACTTGTTGGTAAATAAATTATAGTAGGAATTTAGTGAATGACTTTGAGGTCCAAAAGAAGACTCTTTTTTAATGCATATACACTCATTTACTCTCTTCTCCACTCATCTTAATCCAACATCCTTTCCTTTAATTCAGTGTATACTTTTAAATGGTTGGAGATGGAATTAAACTTTTATTGCACAATGCAGCATGTTCTTCTGAGAAAAGCAGGAATGATCAGAAAAGGACTGGAGGAAGTCAATGAAGAAACAATTGCAAAAGACTAGTTGAGAAATGTAACATTTAGACCCATTTTAGATGATCTGCAGTGGGGAAAAAAAACATGTCTGTATAAACAGTCAGCGATTTGTTTATTCTTGGAAAATCCCAGGCCTTTAATGCAATGATAAATAACGTGAGCTTTTGAGGTTGGGTAGTAAATGTGTTTACAGCTGCCTCTGCAAAGGCAGGAATATCAAAAGTCCTATTAGAGCACATTTTGCATGAGTTGCAGACTGCCCAGTGATTGTAGTGTGTCACTACTAAATTTTAGAAGTATATCCATAAAAGAGTTGGCAATTTCTGGAAGCTGATATATTGGAAAACTTCATTTCTTCCCTAAAATAGTTTTATCTTCACAAATAATTAATTTAATCTTTCTGAATGATCTAGGTACCCCAACATATTCACCCTCAGTATTCATGTTTAATTCATTAAAAGTACTTATTAAGCATTTACTTTATGATGGCACCAACCTAGGCTAAGCTACTCTCGAGTGTGAACTCCTGCCCTCAAGGAGCTTACAGTCTAATGAAAGACATACCATGCGAATAAATAGATCTAGATACACTTAAAGGCACTAAAAATACTTTGAAAAAATAAAGCAGGGAAAAGGATAAAGGGTGTTAGAGTATCATTATATAAAAGCACATTTGGAGAAAAACATACTGAGTTGCAGAAAATTATACAGAGATGTGGCTAAAGGGAAGGAAGGTGTCCCTGGGTTTCAGGTAGAGGAAGCAGTAAGTGTGAGAACTTAAGGTAGGAAGGGGTTGGGCATATTTTAGATACAGGAGGAGGGCCAGGGTGGCTGGAGGCAGTGAGGGAAAAGTGGGAAGAGGTGCCATGAGGGAAGAAGCCAGCCAAACTGTAAAGAATCTTGTGGGCCCCCTAAGAGATCAGATTTCATGCTAATGAGTTAA